CCCCCCCCCAAACGCCCGCCTGGCTCATGCTCTCATAGTCCCCGTCAAAGTCATCCGTCTCGAGCAACAGAAACACGCGCCCGGCGGATTGGTTCCCCACGACGGCGAGCTGAATGGTGGCGGCGTTGGTGTGACGTGATGCGTGTGTATTTCTTGTTGAGCTAAGCTATCGGCCCCTGTGGGCAACCAGATATAGACAGCGTCGTCGAACCCGTCTTCCACCAGCGTAAAGTTTAGCTTGTAGAAGGATATGGCTTCATCGTAGACTCTGACCGCGAGGGCCACGTGGGCTACGTGGCCCCTGGTTGTTTGGCGGTGCGTATGAGGTGTCTTTTTGGGCTGCAGGGGAGAAGCTGTGGTGAGAGTTGAGCTTGTGGTTGAAGAACTGCTGCCTCGAGTTTCGGTGGTGTTGGACCACGGAGATCTCGGACGAGTCGCAGGCATGGAGTCTCGTCTTGGCCAAGACGACTTTCGGAAAGAAGAGCTTGTCTGAACGGACCGAGTACGGAGTCTGTGCCGGATGCCGAGGAGGGCAACAGGCGCACCCGTCCGATTCTCGTTTCCGAACAAGCCGGCACCGCAACCACAGATTCTCATCATTTCAAATTACGTCTTGGCAACAACTAGGTGGTTTGGGAAAAATAGTACAAGGGCACTAGGACGGCATGGAGAGTGTCGTGCTTGAGAGCGAGACTGCCGAGGCAACTCAATGAGCAACGATGCTGCAAGTCGCAAGAGCAGAGATACGACTGCCGACGGATCTGTGCTAAAACATGCTTTCTGTCGAAACTTGGAAAGGCTGTTGATGATTGTGGAGAGGAGGCGGAGGTTCGGGGCGGGTTAGAGAAGTAATGCTACTTAAAAGGAGACACTGCAATCCGCGATTAGGGGACCCGATTGTCTTTGAAAGGCAGTTGGACGTTTTCATTTGGTCGGATTCCCAGCAAAAGTTCGTGGCTAGTGTTGAGCTTCTTGCGCGCATGCAACTACGTAGGCAACGTTGTGCGTGGAAGAAACAGGAAAAGCAGACAGGTATATATAAATAATATATACTTGGGAAGTGCCAGCCAGGTGTTCACTTCAATCAGCAAGTGAATACCCATTAGCGATTCTCTGTAACTGTGTAAACATGTGCACAAAACGAATTTTTTTAAATAAAGGCAGCAGCCTCTCTGCATCGCTTACAGAGGAACAGGCAAGTTTCTCTGCATATATCCCCTCCACTTCGGCAACGTTCTCGCATACTGCGTACCCTTGGTCAGGTCCTCAATAGCACTGCCCCATCTCACGAGCTCCTCTTCGGCCCAGGCCGTGTGCAGAATAGCCAAGCCGTAGCCCATGCCCGACTCGTCGTCGATGCCAGCAGGCAACGTGATGGCCGGGTAGCCAGCTTGTGCCGAAATCTGATAGCTCTGGGCAACATTAGAGGGGACCAAGAGCCCGCTGAGAGTCTTGTTTTTGTAGCGGAGGGCGTCGTTGATGCCGCCACGGGTAGTCGACTGGCAAAAGTTGAGTGCCTGCCAGTACGTCTCGTCCTGGATGCCCTTTGTTTCGAGGGACGCCAGGAAGCCGTCCTGGCCGGAGAACCACGCCGGGTTACCCTGGGGCCAGGGGTTGCCGCCTGAGCTGCCGTCATTGTCCAGGTTGTACTGGACGATGTCATCGATGGTACGGATGTTGGTGTTGTTGAGTTCGGCGAGGTACTTGTTGATGTTGTTATAGAAGTCGACCTTGACGTAGGTGTACTCTGACTCGTTGGGGAAGCCACGCGTGGTGCCGTAGTCCCAGTTCCACCCGTCTGGGGAGACAATGGTTTCGTAGTTTGTAATTTCGGTGTTGTTGATGATGGTGGCGCCAGCATCCTCGATGAGCTTGACAAGAGACACCAAGGTACGCTGGTGCTCGGCACTGGCATGTACCCAGAAGCTCTTCCAGGGAATACCAAAGGTGGCGTTCTTGAGGGTTTCTTTGGTGGTGAGAAATTGGGCATAGCCTCCCTGGGGAGTCTTTCCCCTCTGCGCAAGTGTGTAGTTGTCACGGCAGTCGACGCCGTAGATGGCGTCGAATGCGTAGACGGCGTCGCGGACAGTGCGGCCGAATGTACCGACTGAGTCCTGGTGTTCTGTTTCAGGAATGACACCACTGCGGGACGTGAGGCCGACGGTGGGCTTGAAGCCTACGATGGAGTTTCTCATGGCAGGGTTGATGACTGGGTGCGTCTGTCAGACCTGTTTTCTTCAATCGTCTATACCACACCCCTATCCTGGGGCAGGCAAAACTCATTAGGCATGACAAAAAAGGTTGACTCACCACTGCCATCGGTCTCAGTTCCCAAGGAGAAAGCAATGCAGTTGGCACCAACACCAACACCGCTGCCAGAAGAGCTGCCTCCAGGGTTCACGGTCAAGTTGTACGCGCTCCTGCACTGTCTACCACGCCCAGAGTATCCCTCAGAGTAGTTATTGCTTCGCATGTCTGCCCACTCACTGAGCGTGGCTTTTCCAAACAACACAGCGCCGGCTTTGCGCAGCTTGGCAACGACATGAGCATCACGAGGTACCCGGCTACCCAGCAAGGCCCAACTACCGGCGGTGGTTTCAAGGTTGTCGTCGGTTCCAATATTGTCCTTGACAGTGAAGGGAATTCCGTGCAAAGGACCACGGACGTTGCCCTGCTGACGCTCCTCGTCAAGCTGTGCGGCGATGGCGAGTGCATCGGGGTTGATTTGCATCACAGAGCTGCCAAATCATGTCAGCCTTTTGTAACGTTTCTCGCCTTGCGAGGCATGAACGACGCCCTCAGATATATCAAGTTGCCAAACGAGAAGAAAAAATGCGACGACCTACTTGATATACTGCTGTGTCTGGAACGTCCGCGTCATGTAACAAGTAACAAGCTTCACGCTCGTCAGCATCCCATTTTCCATGGCCTTTTGCATGTCATCAATAGTAGCCTCCTCGAGCTTGAAGCCAAAGCAGTCCCCCATGGGGAACAGCTTATCCGTGCCAGCATTCTCCTGTAACGGGATCAAGTCGGGCGTGAATTCGAAGACACCGTCAGCACATGTAGCTGAAGCTCCCGCCGCCGCGGCCAAGAGGGAGACCACAGCAGACCGCATCTCGATTAGATTTTCGGCGCAACCGCACCCCACGGATCTGATCAATCTTTTTGATCGGACGCCCGGACAATTCCCACAATCCGTGCGCCGATAAGAATCTTCCGAAAGAAGAAATCGTGGCGCCGACCCAAGCTGGAGTCCTAGCGCAATTCCTGGAGAAAGCCGATGGCAATAGAAGGGAGACAAAAGTTAAACAAATAAATAAATAAATAAATAGCAAGAGAGGTCAGCTCCAGAGCGGCTGGATGCGAAACTTGACAGATTTTACGAGCGAGCCAACGAGACGTTAATATTAGCTTGGACGATGCGCCCATGGCGGACCACATGCAATCAACCCATTTCCACATCAAGCAACGCGTATTATGTCGAGTGTGCTACCGCTCATCTTGAACTTTGCAGGCGCAGGCCACTGTCCAGAGCAGGGCTCCTTCCCTGTTTGTTCACAAGTCATGGCATCGCAGGTCATTGGACTCTTGCAGGGCCAAGAGCTCAACTAGAGCGCACGAGGGCAAGCAGATGCAGGCAGACCACATGGCAAATTGAATGTACCTACGTGGCCCCGAATGAATCCTGGCCTCGTTGGTTGATTTTGGTCTCCAGTTCATGTGAGGAGGTTCACGGATCCAAGGTGGATTTTTGTCATGGATATGCCTGCTGTTCCTGGCCTTGCTGGCGGCCAAATTGGGGATAGTTTCTTTCAATGTCGGGGCAAGGAAGCGCCAAAAGAAGAAGAGGCGGGGAAAAAAGGAAAAAGACTGTCGCTTGACGCGGTGCCACCTACGTGCAAACTTTCAGGGGTGGGAGGGGGAAGACGCAAGAAACGGACCAGCCGGAAATGGCGACTCCCACCAGTTGACCAGACTTGACATGATGAAGCTGCATGATTGGCCCATCTACGCAGTATTGCTCTCAAGCACTAGCTAGTGCTAGCTGGCCCCCGTGTCAAAAGCTCGAATCCACTGTCGTTTTCCGACGCTTCCTCGGCTTCTTTGGAGAAACGAAGGATTTTACATCTCCACTTGGGAGCGCATCGGAATGATTATTGCATTTTGGAGAAGCCCAAGGTGCATTTGCCGTGGTCCTGAAATTGGTGTCTTTGAATCAGTGCGATATACTCCTTATGGAATCCTGCATATCTTGGCCTGCCTGATCCGACTCGAGTCAGAGCCGGAAAAAAAATGAAGGATTGTGTCCAAGCGACGACTGATACACTCCCCAGTCAAGGATGAAGCATTTTCGCCTTGTTCAACCTCTAAACTAATAACTCTTTGTCTATCAAACAGTCGGTCGGGTTCCTGGAAATGTTTCCAGCCAAGGGCGCATGTTACGTATACAAATATATCTTCAGCCTTGATGGCTGATGTCAAACTCCCGGCCCGTATTCTTCCTACTTTATGTTACAAGTTACCACAACTCCTTGCAATATTTTAAAAAAAAAAATGCGCTCATCCCGTCCCTGTATACAGACTTTGCTTTTGTGCCCTTTTTCAAAAATCACCGTCGTAGCTCAATATTGTACATATTTCCCGCCCGGCTGCTTACCATTGTGGCCAGGGTGACCCGTCTCCAATTGCCCTTCCTTGACGTCAAAATCGACTCTTACAAAAATGCCGTCAGTCTCGGTCTGACTGTGGCTGTCATGTTGTGAAATGGCATGGACTTCGTTTCCATATGCCGCCGTATTCTCCTGACTAGACAGCATGCTGTGCTGCGAGCGTAATCGAAATGTACTTAGTGCTGTGCCTCTGGACCGTCGACTCGTCGCGCTTCTGTTGTACTTGGAGTTGCCGGACTCGGTATGAACGGTAGTCTTGAGGACATACTTATCAAAGATGGGCTTGATGCCAGGGATGGAGAGGGCGATGAGAGTGGCACCGATTTCAGAAGTTTCAACTGCGAGCATAGGATTGTAGCTCCAAGACTAAGACATGTCAGTCATGTGAAGAAGGTCAATGCCGGTGCAAATCAGAGCCAGAGCATACCATATCAGTTTCCCACTGTCCCTTGATGACGAGAACCAGACGGGTAATCGAAATGCCAACAACGCTAAATACCCTTAGTATCACTGCCGTTTACCCGCGTCAGACTCTGCACTTACCCCAAGCCGGGTAGCAGAATACAAGCCAGCTGTATCTTTCTCTTTCTTGGCATCTCCAGGATCTTCAACATGGCAACCGGAATACCAAACAGCAACAAGTCACACAACAACGACACTGACGAATTCACGCTGTACACCAATCCCCACTGCAAACAGGTATATCTCTCCCAGCCAGGCTCCCAGCCATACGGCCACAGCCCCGTGACGGGCTGGCAGTGGAAAATCAGCAGAAAGAGCTGCGGCATGAACCCGGCCACAATGACTCCAAACACGGCCCGGATGGCAATCAAAAATCCATGGTGGACACCGCAAATACGATAGTAAAACGCTAATCCGGAGATGCGGCAGAGCAAAAGGGCCGTTGTATAGATGATGTGGGCGACAAAGTCGAGGACTTGAGTTCGCATGACGATATCGACGGGTAGGACATATTGGATGTAGGCGAAGTGACGGCCTGATCCAAGGCAAATAAGTTCGATACATAGGCCGACAAAGGCAATTAGTAGAACCTTGCACTAGTTAGTTGGCACATTCACACATGGGCCTGCCGCATGCATCATCATTTTTGCCGCATGTTGAGAACATACCAATGATATCACAGCCAACCCATCGTCATATCCAAACCTCCTCACAATAAATGTCCTCGAAGCCACTCTCCCACAAACCACAAGAAACGTCAAAATCGTCACAATTGAAATCCCCACAACAGCTGGTCGGTCTTTGCTCTCCAGTAATATCGCCCTCGTTACATCTGGTGGCACTCGGCCATCGGCAATGGCCTGGTCGACATCGCTCATCGTGCACGCAGCAGATTCGAGGTGGAATCCTTTTTGTTTTGCAAACAACGGCAGCAAAGCACACACATGAAATCAAAATCAGGAGCCAGGATTTAAAGATGGTGAAGTAAAGGGAAGTGCCAAAAAGTAGTGTTCCCTATCTAGCCCTTCGCAGCGAGACCCAATCCAGACAGCCCTGCTCTTTTACCTCCCACGGAGTACATGACAATAAGCACTTGCTCTCTACCAAGTACGAAGTACACCGGGACGAGCAGGGGGAAAGAAAATATGGGCTTAAAGCGGAACGCTACCTGTGTCGAGCATGCAGTGCTCGGTACTGATTATTTCCTAGTACCGACTGACAGGCCAGGCCATGCCTGTTTCAATGACTTGTGCAAATCATCCTTTTCAGCCATTACATGTGGACGCCGTGTTCGGGCTCTTTGCTCGGGTTAGGATCCTTGAAGATTTGGGTAGGAAATGGGTGGTGAAATTTGATTTGCTGGAGTCTAATGCTCCTGGTGGTGTTTATCCTTCAGGATTGAAATCAGTCCTTCGGGTGCCACAAGCATTACTCGTGCACCCCTTCGGGGGGACGTCATTTCTGGATGGAGGAAGTGGACGGGGGGGGGGGGGGGGCAGGCCCGCCAAGGGTTC